AGCTCACCCCGTGTGCCTGTTTGTCCCAGCTCACCCCGTGTGCTGTTTGTGCAGGGGGACAGGTGGTGAACCTGATGAACCAGCGCCTGCAGACCGGCTTCTCCGAGAGCGAGGTCCTGCAGATCTTCTGTGACACCTGCGAGGCCGTGGCCAGGCTGCACCAGTGCAAGACCCCCATCATCCACAGGGACCTGAAGGTGAGCTCTGTGCTCCAGGGGCCAGCAGGGAGTGTTGGAATAACCCGAGATGTGGGGGCAGTTTGGAGCACCACGATATAAGGAAGATGTTAAGCCCTTAGAGAGTGTCCAAAGGAGGCAACGAGGATGGGGAAGGGCCTTGATTTGAAGCCGTGTGAGGACACTGAGGGCACTTGGTGTGTTCAGCTGGAGGAGACCGAGGGGAGACCTCACTGCAGTTCCACCTTTCTGGGCAGGGGCAGAGGAGGGGCAGGGACTGAGCTCTGCTCTGGGGGGACCAGGGACAGCACCCAGGGAATGGCTGGAGCTGTGTCAGGGCAGGCTCAGGTTGGATCCCAGGAAAAGGTTCTTCCCTCAGAGGGTGGGTGGGCACTGCCCAGGCTCCCCAGGGCAGTGGGCACAGCCCCAAGGCTGCCAGAGCTCCAGGAGGGTTTGGATGATCCTCTGGGGCACAGGGGGTGACTCTGGGGATGGGCCTGTGCAGGGCTGAGGGTTGGACTGGATGATCCTCGTGGGTCCCTCCCAACTCAGCACATTCTGTGATCCTCACTGTCTGCCTGCTGCCTACGCCAGTGCCAGTGCTGTGCTTCCCTCGTTAGTAATGAGGAAAAGTGGGCAGGAATACACCTCTCTATTGGAAGATAAAAAAAGAAATGAGCCTCTCATTGCTGCTCACCATATGTTTACCATCTATAGATCTCCTTAAACACAAATGTTTGTGAATAATTCTGGTTTGCACACGTGCCAGAGTGTACTTGATGAATTATTCACAGTGACTTTCTACCCCCTGAAACACCCTGGATGATTTAAGGTTGCTCACAAAAAGTGTGCTGTGAGGTTGTTACCTGGACCCACATTAAAAGGAGGTGTTGGCCGTGGGGCAGGACTTGTTAGGAGCTTTTGGAACTGGCCTCTAGAGCTCTGACCATGGAAGTGTGTTGTAAAACTGTGTGTACTTAGCTGGGAACAGGGCTGGGCCTGCAAGGAGGGCTTGGGAAAAATCCCATGCCTGTAATCAAGCAAACAAAAAGATGTTCCCTTTCCTCTCAACGAGCTCGTAAAATGCCGGAATAAAATATTCAGCCAAGAAGGAAGGAGGCTGCTGAGCAGATTTGAAATTCAGATGTGCTTTGTGGGGCAGGTTCTATTTTCAGAGCCCTCACAGATGTTTGTTTGTGCCGCGTTGTTCTGTGGGAGCCAAAGATGCCCCGCATGCCAGGGGAGGGGCAAAGATGCCCATTCCTGCCAGGAGGAGCAGGGGCAGGAATCCTCGGGGTCTGGGGTGGTTTGGCACGTTGGAAGTGAAGGGACCCCACTGCTCAGTCGGTTTGGACAGAGAAATAACTCCTGTGTGTGTTTTTCCAGAGGGAAACAGGTGTTCTCCTATCAGTTTGAGGCCTGGATTTAGAGCTGGTAAAGTCTGTGGGCACCTTGCAGAAGTTTGTATAGACCAGGAAAACTGGGATGAGAGGATGAGGAACAGGAACCTCTCCAGCTGACATCAACCCCTGCCGTTACCTTTTTGGTGAATCCCTGGGGTTTTCACAAAGAACAAACTCATTGTGTGGCCTGGGAATGAATCTGGGACATCTGTGCTGGGTTAGTGAGCTGAGTGTTCCTTTCTGCCCTGAGTTACAGTTGAAATGGGCTGTTGGGGTCTGAAACCAGCTCCCACTGCCTGGAGCGGGGAGGTTTTGCAAGGCCTGGCTCTTGGTAAGCTGTGCCCAGAGTCAGAGTTGGCTCTTCTCTGCTTGGAATCATTTTCTGGGTGAAGAGTGTATTATTTCTGCTGTGGAGACCTCTGGGGATCTAAGCACGAATGCAGAATTAATGATTTATATATATTTTGACTTTATTTGAGGTAATACTGTCAAGGGGGAGTTGCAAAGCCAAGAGAGACTAAGGGCCAAAGATCTGAACAGGCTCTGGGTGTAAGGAGGGCGTCCATCCTTAGGTGTTTTCTTGGGGTGAACATAACCCTGCTGAAGAGGGGGCAGATGTTGATTTTGGAGGCAGCTGCCTGGGAGTTGGAGGCCTTTTGTTGCCTTCCAGCTCTTTGATGTGTCTCTGGTGCTGGAGGTTCCTGCCAGCAGCAGGGATGCTGTGAATGAGCTCTCAGCCCTTTCAGACAAGTGCAGCTGGAGGAGTTTCAGTGGCCTGTGGCTCTGGTTTTGAATTAACCCAACAGGCTTTGCCTGAAGCAGAACCACCTCCTGTTGGCACAGTCCCCCTGGTGGGAAGTGACCAAGGGACAACAGCACCTTTCCTCAGAGTTTCTGTAGGCAAAAGGAGACATCTCACTGCAAGAGGATCCTGTCACCCCCGTGTGTGTTAAGGTTTTCCTGCCTGGTCTGAGTAACTCAGGTGCTGTGCCAGCTGCATGCTGTGCAGTTCAGGCTGGGATGTTTCGTTTCTTCTGCTTTGGTTGCCACAAACCCAGGTATATATTGATGCAGCTTTTCCCCTAAAATGCAGAAGCCTCTTGTGTGCTGCTGGTGCCCCAGTCCAGACCCCTCTGAGGAGGATTCACTGGCAGTACAGTCTTTGCTGGTTCTTGCAGGGACTTTCCTCACCCTTAGGGTTCATGGGCTGCTGCTGCTGCAGGGCAGTGCTAAAAAGTTTATTTTTGTTCTCCTTTCTGGAGTAAGATCAATTCCTTTATCTTTAGTTTAGGCCTTTTAACAGTGCAGAACAAACGGCCAAACCTTATGGCAATCTGTTATATACCCTGGCTGGGAAGTCTCTGCTGCTGTGTTGGAATCTCTGTAAGAAACTAGACCTGTCAGACCCCAGAGGAGCAGGGTTTGGTGAGGTGGAGGAAGGGCAAAATCTGCCTAGGGCTGATGATCCTGATTTACACAATTACCCCGTACCCGGGGCAGTTGTTTGTGTGGCTTGTTTTATATTTAACCTCGTCCCTCCAGTCTCACATCTCATAACTCCTGTTGTTCAGAGCACCAGCTTAGAACCAGCTTGGATTTCTGCAGGGAGAGGTCTCCCATTTCTACCTGTGGTGCTTCTGGTGGTCTGAACCCCCCTGGTTCCAGGAGCAGGTGACAGGATGGCAGATGAGCAGATGATTTTCCTTGTAGCAGGTACACAGCAGGATGCACCAAAAACTGTGTCAGGCAACACAGAGGATGCTGTTGATGCAAACCTCTTCCTCCTTTCCTTCCCCTACTTTCTGCAATGCCCAGGGGGTTGTGCTCTCAGGATAAGGATTTAGTTTCACCTGCTTTCCTATTAGCCCTCGTGTGGTGTGATCAGACAGTCCCACTGTGCTGCTGTCACCTCTCTGCCTTCCATCACTCTTTGGAATGCCAAGTCTTGCCCTGATGCCACCAACAAGCCTGGGATTTGTTTGGCTGGATCTGTTGAGTGGGATATGCGGAATTGTTCAGTCCTGTAATGGTAAAACCCTCCTGTTGGCCATGTTTGGAGTGTTCCTGTGCCAAAAGCAGTCAGTGCTCTGAGGTGCCACGTGGCTTTCGCTCGGTGCCAGGAAATGCTCCATGAGCTGTCAGAGGGAAACTGAGCAGTGCCAGGGGAGAAAGGGCAGTTGAAACATCTCTGAAGAGATCTGAAGGTGCTGGAAAGCAGTCAGGAAGTGTGCCCTGGTCATGCATCCCTCCCAAATCACCACCTGAGCTTAGGAATACTGGCCTTAAAGCCCTTGCTCTCAGGAGAGGGTAATGAGTGTTGAATTCACTACTTAAAACCCCAGTCCTTATCCCTTCCCAGCATGTCTGTGCAGGGGGTTTTATAGTTTAGTTCTGTTTTAGCAAAGAAGCATTTGGTTTGGAAAGACTGAAGCTACACTCTGTAACCAACAAAACTTAAAGTAACTCATTGTTTCCCTTAAAGGTTTTTATTTGGGGTCTAAGTCTGACTTTGTGTCGAAGGTTGCAGTGAGTTGTAAATGCTCAGCAGTGCTGGGAGCTGGAGTGCAGCTTTTTGGGAGTTTGACCAGAAGAAGACACCTCCATGCTCCTTTTAAAGACACTTTTCTCTGGCCTGGGAGGCAGTAGCAGTGATTCAGGAACTTTGTTTTGCTGTATTTATTTTTTCCTTTTGCTGGCAGTTACTGACCAAACCTGGTTGCTGGATAGTCCAGCGCTGACGTTTAACAAACCTTGCAGGATGTTTCAGTGAAAAATCACCTCAGACTTCTCAACCAGATAAAGAGGGAGGACTCTTCTGGAAATGCTTGAGGAGTACTTGCAGGGAAGAGGGAATAACAGTCAGCATGGATGTGCTGGGGAGAACATCTGTGTGCAGTGCTTTATTCAAAGCAGATGGATGGCAGGGGGAGAAGGGGGGTGTTTAACCCTTGGTTCCAAGCCAGCCTTCTCCCCCTCAGCTGCTCTAATTTGGCTGCGTTTTCTGATGCTTAAAATGCTGACTCCTCCTTTTTCTTTCCTTCTTGTAAGGCTCATCCTTGATGGGGAGCTCCACTTCCAAAGGGTTTTGTTAGCAAACGCTTATGTGGGTTTTTTCTGAACTGTGTGAGCAGTATGTCTTATCTTGCTGTTGTATCTGAGCATTTGACACTGATTGAAGATAAAGACATGAAAAATTGTGTGTTCCCTCGAGAGAACATGCTGTTAATGCCTCTGTACAGATGAGGAGTGGGAACACAGGGCTGCTCTGCCAAAGCAGAGATCTGAACCCAGGGTTTTACACATTTTAAGTCTGTGTTGAAACATTTAGGCAGTTTGCTAGTTTTTTGTTAATGCATGATTAAGTGAGGGGAAGGCAGTGTTTCTGCTAATTTTATTTATTTTTTCAGCTGTCCCAGGTGTTTGTTTCAGTAGTTGTTTCAGTTGCCTGATTCAAGGTACCATATGATATTTGAAGGGAAAGGGATCATCTCAGCAGCCTGGGGGAACCTTGGCTGTTCCAGCCCCTGTTCAGGGACTGTGGGGTACCCAACACCTTCTCAGAAGGGGCACCTACAGTGTGAGCACTTTGGAACAAGTGGGACAGGGGGAGTGCAGGCAAAGGCCTGGAGATGTGTTTGAATTTCATAAAGTACAGAAGTGTGTGTGCTGTGATGTGTTTGCCTCCTCTCTGTCCCACAGACAGCCCTTTGCAAAGCTGGGGACAGTTGGATTTGCTGTCCCCCGTTCAGATGCCAGAGCAGGGGCACAGCAGCACAGGGACACTGAGCACCAGAGGTGCCAGGCCACTGTTCTTGTCCTGGTAGTCCTGGCAGAGGCAGAGAAGTGTGCTTGCAGGAGGAGAAGGGGGGGGATGGAAGGCAGTGTTACAACTGTGGTTCCATCATTTGACTTCTATTTTAGGGGATGTGACAGAGGCTCGATGCCTGTTTGCTTTGCTGTCGTGTTACGCCTTCATGTCAGATGTGTCTGAGATGTCTTCAGGCACTGAAAACCTTGGCTTGTGGAAAAAAAACCCGGAATATTTTTTGTGTCTGAGTGACTGTGTCTGTCTGTGACGCTTGTAGGTTGAAAACATCCTGCTGCACGACCGTGGCCACTATGTCCTGTGTGACTTCGGGAGTGCCACCAACAAATTCCAGAACCCGCAGACGGAGGGGGTGAACGCGGTCGAGGAGGAGATCAAAAAGTAAGTGTGCTTTGCCTTTTCAGCTCGGGCCTAGTTTGTGTTTGAAGGGTAATTTTGTCTTGTGCTGGGATTAATTCTGCTCAGGCCTGCTGCAGCAGCTTGGCTGTGCTGCATGGCAGTGTGTGCTGCAGGTAAATGAGTGCCCGGGGGAAGGTGGAACAATAAATTGAGTTTGATGTAATTGCTTTGGAGCTGAAGGACTGAGCGTGTAATGCAGAGGAGCTGCCCCACCTTGCAGGCAGTGACCTGTTCTGTTCTGTGTGGGGTCACTCTGTCTCTGCCCTTCATCTCTCTTGGTTCCTTTGAGCTGCCAGGCAGGGATGACACAATCCCTGTCCTTCCCGAGCAGTGACTCAGGGCCCCATCTTGGCTCTGCATGGGAACTGTCAAGCCCTGGAGGGGTTTAATCTAGCTCCTTCTCCTGTCCCATCCACAGCCAGCTGTCCTGGCAGCATCTGGTGCTCCTGGGTGCTTCTGCAAAGGGGACTTCCCTTGCAGTTCAGCAGGACCTGGATCAGGGATGGAGCACACTCCTGGTCCTTGGTCTTGCTTTAGTTTTAACAACATCACTGCTGCCAACTTGCCACCTCTGTCAGTACAACATCCTGGCTGGTTAGAGATGTGTGCAGAGCCTCCTTTTTGTTAGGATGCAGCTACACCTGCTTGGATTTCCTAGACTTGTTTGTTTGGAGTCATCAGAGCTCTCCTAATCCAGTGTTGCAGTCCCTTTGGAATGCCCTGGTTGTGCCCTTAAGCCTACAAAACCTCTGCCTTTAGTGATGCTTTCCTGTGATCAAGGTAAGCAGCAGGCAAAGTGCCACAGCAGAAATTACAGACCTGCTGATAGGAAATCTCATCAGGAGAGTCTCTTAAACTCTGGTGCAGTTTCCAGCTGTACTGTTTGGGGGGATCTGTTCAAATGAGGCAGATTCCAGCTCTGGTTTGAGGTACACACTGGCCCTTCCCTTGCTTACAGTGGCTCTGAGCAGGAGTCCTGGTGTGAAATCTGTTTTTTAGGAGCCACATATCCAGTTACAATCTGTGATACAGTTGGCCACAGCCCTGCAGTGAGGACACTGCAGAGGACAGTTGATTACTGACCTTGTTAATACTTTGCATCCTTGAATATGACTGTGCATTTTTGTGAGTGAATTCCTTGTTTTAGAATGGATTGTGGTTACTGTTTTGGCTTCCCAGGGCAGTTTGCAGGGGTGTTTTATGTTAGAGGTAGAGGTAGTGTTTGAGGTATGTAGCAGATGATGCTGTTAAAGATTATTTTAAATAGATATCTTTAGTATCTTTTTCCCTAAAATGAATAGAGAAAGAGAGAATTTGGATGTATTTGGAACTGTGACACAGTGAAAATGCCTCTGATACCCCTTTTGAGCTCCCTGATGGATGTTTCTCTGCAGGTACACTACGTTATCCTACAGAGCACCAGAGATGGTCAACCTGTACAGTGGCAAACTCATCACCACAAAAGCAGACATATGGGTATGTATGAAAACCACTGACACCCCCAGCCAGGCTGCAGCTGCCTCACTGTCATGAGGGCAGGGAAACTGGGCTAACCTGCTTTCCTGAAGAGCTTGGGCAGTTTCTGAATGAAGAGTTCCTCTGCTGACGTGTCTGATGAGTTCCTGCTGAGCAGGGGGGCTGCTGGATGAGATGTGTTGCTCCTCTCGTCTGGTTTGAATTTATGTATGAAGCTCCAGGGTTGAACAGGGCAAACCTGGTTTCATATCTGAAGAGTTAAAGCAGAAAATTTGGAATATTTTAGTTTCTTGTGCCTGGGTTGGGGTGTAGGCATGTGAAACAGAAGTTACTGTTGAGAACTGAATAGAAACCCGAGCAAATGGACCTGCTCCCTGCAGCAGAAGTGGGTGATCCTGTGTAACACAGGGCTGAGTTGGCAAACTGGCCAAAGGCCAAACTCCTGCACTGCTGCTCCTGCTGATCAGGGCAATCCTGCCATGCTCTTCATGGTGAGAGCAGAATCCAGCTGGAGTGGAATCCATTCCTGGCTAACCTGATCCAGGGTGGAAGGCTTCCCTTCGGGTGGGACAGTGGTGGAAAAGAGCCTGTGCTGTTTGGAGCCTAGAGGCAGTTCAGCAGATGTGTTTGGAAGTGTTTAAAGTGGTAACTGGGACTGTGTTTGTGTGGTTTCTGGAGCCCTGAGCTAGGAAGTAGCACAGCAGAAGCAGAAAAAGGGTTTTGATGTACAATAGCTGTGCATGTACAAGAGGGAAAATTGCTGGTGTGACACCTGCTGGGAAGAGTCCCCTGCTCCCAGGGAGCTCAGCTGGAGCTGGGAGCAGCAGCTCCTGTGGGAGCACATTTCAGCAGGAGTCTGTGGGATCACACAGCACTGGATGTGAGTGGAGAGGGAAGGTCCAGCTGTGAAAGGACAGTCAGGGCCTCAGAGGCAGCCAGAGGAGAGCCAGGATTTGCACTCCTTCCTCTGATAATGGGAAAGGTGGAGATCCAGGGGCTCTGCTCTTCCTGGCATGGCAGGAATTCTGTTCCTGTGACCCTTGGAGTGTCCAGACCAGTGTGTGTGTTGGTGGGCAGAGGCAGCCTCAGCTTCCAGTCCTGTTCTAGTGCTTGTTCTGCTGCAAACCTCCCTTCCCTTCAAACCTGCTGAGGTGATTGTAAACCAGAGAGCAGTTTAATTGAGAAACCCTGTGACAAAGGAGATGAGCTGATGATGAGTAGCTTAGGATTAGGAAATGTTTCCTGCTCTCCCCTCTGAGGTGGTGGGAGTGTTTCATAATTAGCCCTTTGTGCAGAAATTGTGTTTTCTTTTGCAATAGGTGGTGGTTCTTGCTGCCAAAAGCAGCACAGCAGTGGAGGGAAGGGTGGTACAGCCTGGCAGGCTGCAGAATGAGCTGTATTTCCCTGGCATTTATTTAGAACAGCTGAAAGGTTGTTTGAACTTAAGCTTGGAAACAGTTTGGGCTTCTCTTTGTCAGAATAAATGTATTAATGATGATGGTTGCCATTTATTTGTGCTGTTCTTTGCTTTATTCTCTCAGTGTGTGGCAGAAGGAGGCTTTCCCTGTTCAGTGACATGAAGGGTTGTGCTCTGTGGAGCCGTGTGGGGTTGATGATACACAGTCCTCCAGAGCAGTGTCTCACTGACAGGGGAGAGCTGAGCTCTCCATGTGTGTGTCCTGCCCTGTACCCCTGTTCCAGGTCCATCCCAGGGGTGCTGGGTGCAGGCCTGACATCACACAGGACCTGGATACCCAGGCTGGAGCCCCCTCCCTGTCTGTGCCGTGGTGTTTGAGCTGTGCTGGCTCCGTTTGCTCAGTCCCTGCTCTGTTCTCTCTCCCCAGGCCCTTGGCTGTTTGCTGTACAAGCTGTGCTACTTCACCCTGCCCTTTGGGGAGAGCCAGGTGGCCATTTGTGACGGCACCTTCACCATTCCAGACAACTCCCGGCACTCTCAGGACATGCACTGCCTCATCCGTGAGTGTCCCAGGGGCCCAAACCCAGCACACGTGTTCTGCTCTCATATTCCTGCTCCCACAGGAAAACCAGCAGTTCTCCTCTCCTTTTAGGAGACTTGCTTGCCCAGGGGTTGGTTAAAGTGATCTTTTAGAAGCTTAGGAGATCACTCTTGCAGGGCCAGCTGTGACAAAGGGATTTCTGTTTGGCCAGGCTGGGGTGAGCTCTGGGGAAGGGCAGGAACACAGACAACCGTTTGGTTTGAGTCCTACAGGAACTTGCACAATAAGCCTATTTATGCAGAAACGTATTTCTCCAGTAATAAATCTGTTTGGATAAGGAACTGAAAAGAACCACAGTGACTTAGACTAGCGATAAGAATTCATCTTCTGTGAACTGGGAAGCAGAACTGAAATGATTTATAAATAACCCACTGACTAGAGTGAATGTGTAATTAAGTGTACAATGCACTACTCTTGGCAAAGCTGGGGCAGCTCTCTTGTTTCCAGCACAGCATTTGATTTTTTTCTCTTCCTAGCCACAATCTTGACTCACACAGAGTTGGATGTGTTTGCAGAGCAGCCTGGTGTTTTCTTTGCTCATGTGGGGTATCTGTGCAGTGGTGTCTGTGGCTGCCTTGTCTTCCTGCCCCCCTGACACACCGGGGCTGGATCAAGCTCTTCTCCCGTGGGTTCACTGGGAAGTACAAAGTCAAACCCAGTGCTATTCCCTGAGCAGGCAGCATTTCCCCTCCTTGCCCTGGAGGCAGATTGGTCATAGCTGTGTTGGAAAATGTGTCCTGGTCCATCCTGGCTGTCTGTCCTGCCCCCTTCCCAGCTGAGCCCACGAGCAGCTCAGTCCTGCTGAGCCCTGACCTGACCAGGTGCTCTGAAGGAGGCAGAGCACCCTGTTAGCCCTGGTTGTACCAAATGGACAATCCTGGAATGGTTTGGGTTGGAAGAGACCTTAAAACCATCCAGCCCCACTCCCTGCCACGGGCAGGGACACCTTCCACTGTCCCAGGTTGCTCCAAGCCCCGTCCAACCTGGCCTTGGACACTGCCAGGGATGGGGCAGCCACAGCTCCTCTGGGATCCTGTGCCAGGGCCTCCCCACCCCAATCCTGAGAAATTCCTTCATTCTGTGCAGTCTGAGGAGCTGCCACAGCTGGCTCATGGGCATCTGTCTGCTCTGTTTCTGATGTCACATCTCTGCCTCTTCCAGGGTATATGCTTGAGCCAGACCCTGATAAGAGACCTGACATTTATCAGGTCTCCTACTTTGCATTCAAACTGGCAAAGAAGGAGTGCCCAGTGCAGAACGTCCAGGTGAGCAGAGGGGGGGACTGAGGGAGGCCTCTGTGGGAGGAGACTGGGGGGCAGCTGCTCAGTGCTGAACATTTTGCTGTATTCTGTGGGTTGTTCCCCAGTTCTGTAATTAGGAGAGTAGTTTTTTGTTTGTTTGTAATTATCAGTGCTGTTTGATTTAGATTTTTGGGAGGATGAGGACAGGAATCAGGGTTTTTCATGTTACTTATTCCTGTTTGTCCCTGATTTACCTCCTCACCCAGTCACCAAGTGTGAGCCAACCAAGAGATCTTGTGCATGTGAACATGGAAAATTAGGCCATGCTTGGGAAAACAATTTGATTTCCAGGCACACTCGTCACAATGTGTGTAATTTGGGTGCAGTTGGGTTTAAACACAGCAGTTTGGGGTCTGTTGGCTGGCTGGGACTTGTATTTCAATTGCATCAGTCCTTGCACAGCCATCTGCCCCTTCTCAGTGTGTTCTTAGAGGCTTAACTGAAAAACAGAGTTGACAGTTCTTTTCTTACGGTGTTGTGGACACCTGTGACAGACATTTTATTTTGTTGTTTCCAGGTAAATAGAAACCTACTTTTTTCTCCCCATGTTCAGGTGGTTATTTATGGTCTTTATGAATAAGAGATGGTTTTGGTACTATTATGCCTGTGTTTTATAGCATTATTAATAAATATTGTTGCTGTTGTCCCCCAGGTTTTCTTTTAAAAATGCCCAGGTTGTGCTATGAACCTTTGTGTTCGTGTTCCATGTGCAGTAAATGGTCAAAAAGCTGAGCCTTTTTTCCCCCCCCTTGTAAAACCTCTCCCAATCTACTGTATCCCCATGACATGAACTTTGAGGAGTTTGTCGTGTGTCCAGCATGAGGAAAAATTGCTTTGGGGATCCCCCAATCTCCCTGTTTTATTATGATGCTTTTGCAAATTATTTCTGACTCTGTTTTCTGCCCTCACAATACCAAATTGAGTGTTTTTGGGATCTGCAGAACTCTCCAATCCCTGCTAAACTCCCAGACCCGGTTAAAGCAAGTGAAGCTGCTGCAAAGAAGAGTCAGCCCAAGGCCAGGTACCCCCTGCTTTGTGCTCCCCTCTCTGTTGTGCCTGTCGTGTCTCTCTGTTGATCAGCAGGGGGGTGTTTGCTGCTTCCCTGGGGACAAACACTGCGCTCCTGAGAGCAGGAACCAGCCCTGGGCTCTCTGATCTGAGGGCAGCAGATGCAGACATGGGGGGTTTGTCTACAGGGGGTGGGATTTGGGGGATGCTCAGCAGGACTCAGCAGCTCTCTGTGCCCCAGGCACTGCTCCACAGCAGCTCCTGGAGCTCCTGCACCTGGATGGATCCAGAGTGCCATCCTTCCAGAGGCAGGAAACACCTGAGAGCACTTGGAGCTCCTGCACCTGGATGGATCCAGTGTGTCATCCTTCCAGAGGCACGGGAATACCTGAGAGCACAGTCAGGGCAGAGGCTGCAGCGGGCCTGGAATGGCCCCAGAGAACACAGATCTGCTGAACACAGCAGGGACTGTGGCTGAGTCTGACCCTGGACAGACCATAACCTGAGCCAGGAGTTACTGCACGAAATGACTGGGATTTCTGCAAGAGTCCTGTAATTCCTTTGGGGGAAAACACAAAAGCCCAGTTGCTTCCATCTGAAGAGCCCAGTTAGTGGGGAAACCACTGTACTCTGTGGGTTTTTTCCTCTCCTGCTGCTGCTTGCTCTGCTTGTGGTTCTGTGATGGAGGCTTGTAAATTGTGTTGGACAAAGCTGGGGTGTGATTTTGGTGCAGAGTGAGCAGTGCACAGTGGGCACTCCAAACCCAGCTGCTCTCCTCAGACTCTGAGATGGGATGTCTCCTGCTGCCAGTCCCAGCACTGTGTGTTTGGGTTCATAACTGTGCAGTTACTCTCAGGTAACTTTGGTCAGGTTAGTTAGGTGTTAGGAACAATTTCCTATTATAGCCACTGTATCCACAGAAGGGCAGGGGCTGCTTCTCTCTCTTGCTCTGCATTTTTGGAGCTCAGTAAACTCAGAGGAGTCCAATGACCCGATTCTGGGGTAAATGTACCAAAGTTAAGGTGCATCTAAAGATGGCAATTTAGACAACCCTGCCCAAAGGTACCAGCTGCTCCTGAGCTAATTTGTGTCCTTCGTCTGCTCGCTCAGAACTCTGAGTGGATTTAAACAATATGTTGTATCAAATGTTTGAATGAACTGAGTGGTTTTGACAAGTCCCAGCTGTCCAACAGGAGAAGATGCCACAATTGGCAGAGAAGTCAGAGTGACAGTGTTGGGTTAATTGTTGTGAGTGCATCTGGGAGGTTTTGCTGTGCGTGGTGTGTCCAGATGCCCACGAGTGTTTCACCTTTCCTGGGCACACCCAGCTGGAGTGTGGAGGAGTGTTGAACCTGCTGTGTGTCCCATGCACTGGCTGTGCTCTCAGTGCTCTCCTTTTCTTCCTCCCCAGGCTCACAGATCCCATCCCCACGACAGAAACGTCCATAGCCCCCCGGCAGAGACCTAAAGCAGGGCAGACCCAGCCCAACCCTGGGATCCTGCCCATCCAGCCAGCCCTGACTCCCAGGAAGAGACCCACGGCCCCGGCAGCCCTTCAGCCCCAAGGTGAGGCCGCTCTCTGCCCCTGTGCTTCCTGTGGGCCCTGCGCCCCCCAGGGCTGTGCTGCACCTTCATCTAACACCCTTTTGGGTTTTCTCTCCCAGCTGCAGGCCCGGCTGCCCTGGGCAGTGCCCAGCCTTCGCTCCCTGCCAGCACCCCCCAGCCCAAAGCAGCCCCCCAGCAGCCCCCGGCCCAGCCCCAGGCCAAGGCAGCGCCGGCCCCGGCCCCGCAGGCACAGCCCCAGGTCCCCTCAACACAGCCCCAGGCCACCCCTCAGCATCAGCAGCAGCTTTTCCTGAAGCAGCAGCTCCTGCAGCAGCAGCAGCAGCAGCAGCAGCAACAAGCTGCCTACTACCAGCAGCAGCAGCAGATGATGCAGGCGCAGCAGGTGGGTGAGCGCGGCCGGCTCGGTGTCTGCAGGGCTGAGTCCTTGTATTCATGGCATTTTCTAGATGTATGTTATGTTTGGGGGGAATAGGGGCAAGTTTTAGGCATTTTCCAGTGTATCCCCAGTTCTCCAGTAAGATTTGCTCTCTACAGCTCCCTGAAAGGAGGTTGCAGTGAGGTGGGTGTTGGTCTCCTCTGCTGCGTCTCAAGTGAGAGGACGGGAGGAAACGGCCTCAAGTTGTGCCAGGGGAGGTTCAGATTAGATATTAGAAGAAAGGTTTTTCACTGAATGAGTGGTCGGGTTGTGGAATGTGTTCACAGTTGGACTGAATGATCTTGAAGGTCTCTTCCAGACTCGATGATCCTGTGCTACACAAGACTGGCATTTTTAGCTGTCAGTGTGGAAGGCTTTGGGATAGTTTTGTCATGTACAAGCATAAAATCTGGAGTGCTGGTTGAGATGTTACAGCTCCAAGTGTTTCAGGGTCTTGAAACACTTCAGTGCTCAGCTGATGAGCAGAGGGTACAATTTATGTCCTTTTTGTGCTTCCAGAAGCCTGGGGTGCCTTTTCAAGGGTAAGATTTGGGTCTGGTTTTTGGTAGACTGCGGTGATAAGGAGGTCTGTGAACACATGATGTGTTACACAGAGATGACACTCACATGCTTACCTGAGGTGTTCATAGCAGCACAGATCTCTGCTAAAGGATGTTTAACAGTGGAAGCAAAGGAACTCTAAATCCTCCTCTCCTGGGGAAAGGATGTGGACCTGTTAGAGCAGGTGCAGAGGAGGCCATGGAGATGATCTGGGAACCGGAGCCCCTTTGCTCTGGAGCCAGGCTGGGAGAGCTGGGGCTGTTCACCTGGAGAAGAGAAGGCTCTGGGGAGACCTGAGAGCCCCTTGCAGTGCCTAAAGGCAGCTTATGAAAAGGAGGGAGAGGGAGTTTTTATATGGGCAGAGAGTGACAGGGAAAATGGTTTTAAACTGACAGAGGATGGGGTTAGACTGGATGTTAGGGAGAAACTCTTGGCCCTGGGGGTGGGGAGCCCCTGGCACAGGTTGCCCAGAGAAGCTGTGGCTGCCTCATCCCTGGAAGTGTCCAAGGCCAGGTTGGACAGGGCTTGGAGCAACCTGGGCCAGTGAAAGGTGTCCCTGCTCATGGCAGGGGGTGGGGCTGGATGGGGTTTACAGTCCCTTCCACCCCAAACGATTCCATGATTCTGTGAAAGGTTTAGAGTCGATAAACATGGAGGAGGGCTGGCCCCCAGTCCTGGTGGGGGTTCCCAGTTCCCAGGCCCACCTCGGGCACCTCAACCGCCAGTTGTTTCCCAGTTCCCAGGGATGCAGCAAGGAGCCCCTGCACAGCAGCAGCTCATGCAGAACTACTACCAGCAGCAGCAGCAGCAGCAGCTGCTGGCCCAGCAGGCAGCCATGCAGCAGAAGACAGTGGCAGCAGCTCAGCAGAAACAACAGAGCCCGGCCCAGCCCCAGGCCCAGCCCAGCACAGCCCAGCCCACACAGCCACAGGAGCAGGTGGGAGAGCCTGGGGGAAGGGATGGGGCACTGGGATTTGGGGAGAGGCTGTGGGAGGGAATGGGGCACTGGGATTTGGAGAGAGCCCTGTGGGAAGGAATGGGCAGTGGGATTTGGGGCACTGGAAGCAGGTGGGGAGAACCTGTGGGAAGGAATGGGCAGTGGGATTTGGGGAGAGGCAAATGGGAAGGAATGGGCAGTGGGATTTGGGGAAAGTCCTGTGGGAAGGAATGGGCAGTGGGATTTGGGGAAAGTCCTGTGGGAAGGAATGGGGCAGTGGGATTTGGGGAAAGTCCTGTGGG